AACGTATTCTAACCTCTCTACTGGAGGACCTACTCAAAATACCCGCTTCTTTTCCAGGGGTCTTAACCAAATGGAAGGTTTGAGGATGCCTGCCGGCTAGGCCCAGAGGTACCCGGACGACACAAATTTCTCCACCCGGATCCTTCAGGTTGGGGCCCGCGCCCAGCCGCCAGCTGCAGCGAGCCAGTGGCTGGGGACCCAAAGCCGCGCCTTACGCGCCGCACGTTTCGAGCGTCCGAACTCATTTGGCTGTGGGTCCACCCGTTGCTTGGTCCAACAAAGGGGTACACCCAAAAAAACATATGTCAGATTATGTGTTGGATTTAGTAATGTGTGAGTTTTTTTTTTTTTTTTTAAACGTGACCCAACACCAACTGAACAGAATGTATGTAGTCATCACTAAGGTGATGTGGCTGTGGTTGTCAAAACCGTTTTGGGATCCCATTTTGGGGGGTTGGTGAATTCACAACCCATTTTAGATAACCTATTTTAGTGGTTGGATTGGGTCCCGTTCACTGGGGGTACGATTTGGAGTTTGACCCATGGCCATTCATTTGGGTGTTTCTCATTGGGGACCCTTCCAGGTTCGTTCCTTTTCCTTTCCCTGAACCATCCATCAAGGGCTCCCAGATGTTGAGAAGCGATGTGCAAGCAACAAGTTGAAAGTTCAAAGCATGCAAAAACAATTGGCGAGCTCACCTGGCAGCACGATTAATGTAGGTCCTTGACTGGGATGCCTTGCTTCAGGTCTTGAGGAGTTATTGTAGCTTTTGAAGATGGGTCCAAAACATGTTTGCAGCCGTGACATTGGAAGCAGCCAGGGGTTGGCTGAGTGGCTACGGCCGAGATTTCAGGTGCCCCGCTCCTGTTCTAGCTGTTTTTTTCTGCCTGAACCAGGCATGTTCCTGAATTGGCTGGTGGATTCCATATGTGTGTTTGTGTTTGTTGTGTTTGCTGGCCGGCTTTCAGGGATATTCTTCTTTCTCAGGGAAACCCAATCGGCAAGTTGGCATGCGCCCTGGAACTTTGTGCGCGCGAGAGATATCCTTTCCGACATGGTGTTTGCGGCGAACATTGGAAAGCCTTTGGTTGCCGCCGATGCCCCAAGGGCACAAAGTTGCAAACTGCATCCAGGTCCTGGGGTTCGTTCCGTTTCGAAAAGCGGTTTGCCGATTTTCGGTGCAGGTCATTCGGCTTGGTCAGTCCATGGTGAACAGCCCAGCGTGTTATGGGTCGTGCCACGTGATCAAACTCAAGGCGTTGAGACAGTGCTTCGATTGCATTGGAGCTAAGCCCTGTCACTAGATATGTGTCACTATATGTCTTTGGGTGTGTGTGTGCGTGTGTCTGTACACGCACATATGTATGTATATATATATAGTATATTTATATAGAGATATAAATTCAAAGCATATTGACATACATATGTCTATAGATATAATTGTATATGTATATGTGCGCGGTTGCTTGCATGCATAGCACTGTTCGTTGCCACCGGTGACATGTAATGTCCATCCAAAGGCATGGTTTGGGCCGCTGCCTGTCCAATGAAGACCACAAGAACCTCGCCCGAGACAAGTGAGGGAAGCAAGGCGGTTGGAATTGGTAAACCAGAGATCCTCTTCTGAGTTGTGAACTTCTCAACGAGACTGCTCAGAGGTTGAATTGCTAGGAAGTACAGGGGGCTAAATGGTTAGAATACTGATGTGGGGTTCAATTCATCCAAATGTCCTCATGATGGGGGGATTCTGGTTTGCAATTGGTGCCCCCGAGCGTTTCGACAACCTCTGAGGCGGCCGCGCTGTGCAGGCTATTCCGGGGGTGACCTACAACTCAGACACGTGGCGCCATTTTTTCCTGGGTTTTAGGGAGGGCTTTCCTTGCAAAGTCAACTATCCAGGAAAAGGAGATGCTTTTTCTTGTGAGGGGAGGTAAGCAAACTGGGACTGTGCCATCTACCATGAGGATGCTGTATCAGTGACCATTCGCAGCACGTTCAGGTAAAGTCGCAACAGTTTTGCCTATGTCAACCAAGTAAAACGACGTCACCATCCAGGGCCGCTACTGGGAGATCCCATTCTATTTTCAGAGTTGGGAAGGAAACGTTGCAGATAACATGAACCCCGATTTCATGGCTCAATTAACTACAACACATAGGAAACCACCCACCACCCAGCAAGGCGACCAACATGGCAATGGGCTCGCTGGCTTTACATAATGAGCCTTCAGACAGGTGTTTCGGACAAAGTTCTTCATGTGAACGTGGCGCCTGTGCGGTCTAACTTTGTCGGTATTCCTCGAAACAATGTAGGGACCGGGGCGCGCAACTTTTGAAAAAGCGGCTTTTGGGGCAAATTGTCATTGACATAGACACATGCAAAGTGCGTCACTCAACTTGACGTGTTAGATGTCGAATCTGGGAGCCACTGGGCCAGGCCCCGAAGACTAGGTTCACCGACCGAGACCGCCATGGCCTCAGGGCCAATTGAGCGATGCGGATGGGGGAGTTCAATGGAAACCTCGCATAGCACAAAGGCGACAAAGGGATCCGGATTGCCTTTGTGGGATCATTTGTTCTCCAATGGTTTCGAAAAGTCTGTGTCCACTGCCTTAAGCAATACCAATCACCCATGGGTTGCGTGGAACAGACTTTGTTTGCCACTCGAAACCGCCTACCCTGAACTTTTTGATGGTTTGGGGGTAGTGGAGAGCGGACAAATATCCTAGGATGGAAAGGGGTAGAGTTAGGATACGTCCATTTTGCCGAACTAAAACGTGAAACCGTTAAAAAAAGAAAAAGTACTTGACAACAAGACCTAACTCCATAAGATTCTTCAAGCAGGGGGGGAAGGGAAGTCCCATCATCTGCCGCAGTTTGCCATGTTTTGGTGGTTTAGCGATGGACATCCCATTGCGGGGAAGCCTGTTGGCAAAAGGAACGTGACGCAACCGGGGGATTTGAACTGCTGTTTGTAGAGGGTGAGTGGGCAGGTATCCCACATACTCACTCCCAGAGTTCCTGAACTTGAGGCTTGAGAAGACCATTCTTGTGGTGAATAAACAGTTCAGACTTCAGCCGTTGGTGGGGAAACCACCCCCCACACACCAAACCGGGCTCCAAGCCATCAAGTATTGGAAGGCTCTCAGAGCCCAGAGCCAGCCTGGTGATTGCGATGGGGGCGTTTTTTAAGCACCACCCGCCCAAAGCATCGAAGGGGAAGCTGATGAGTCCAGAGCCGAGCGCTGAGTGAGGCCTACCTGGCGAAGGGCCCAAGCCGGGGCTTGGGCGCCGCAAGCCTCTGGGGGTGCGCATGAAGAACCGCCTGGACGCAGGCGAGTGAAGCTTCAAGCCATCCCTCGAGATGCTGCACCCATCGCGGTCAACAGTTTCTTTTCTTCTTTTTTTTTGGGGGGGGGGGAAATCAAAAAGCAAGTTATCACCCACAGGACGATTGTAGGGGCCAAGCTTGCACCTTAGTTAGACATGGCACCAAGGGGGCCTGAGGGTTCCATGAAGGGTCCTGCTCAGTCCATCGGCAAGACCCGGAAAGCAGTTTTACCGGCAAACAGGGCAAAACCACCCATCAGGGTTCCCCCGTTGAGACGCCGTGGCACGCAACAGGCAGCCTCAGTGTCAGAGAATTGGTTCCGGGTGCACTCCGCAGGCCGCAACTATGCCGCTCCCGACGATGATCTGCTGTTGTAAAAAAGCGCCATTCGAATCCGCCGGTTCCCCGCCGACTCATAGCCACAACATACACGACCACGCGTGATCTATCCTTCACCCACTGACATGGAACCCAGAGGGTCCGTAGAGGGTTTCATGACAACGTGGGGGTCTTTGATTGCAGCCTAAGCCAAAGGCCAACAGTCAACAGCACTGGGATTGTTCGTCCAAAAGAAAAAGTTCTTTGCACCCCTGCAAGCGCAAAACCAAACAAGAAGCCAAGAAGAGGTGCATATCCGCGCTTGCAGCGTATCTTTGCTTGAGGTTGTGCGTGTACACATGCTGCTCAGCTTTCTGCGAGCTAATGTCTTCGAAGCTTGGCACGTTTGGTTTCCAGCCGTTTACTATGTCTTTTTTACAGCGCGCGCGCGGTGTGAGTGCTGAGGGTGTGTTTGCACGTGTGTCTGTGTGGTGTGTGTTTGTGTGTGCGGGCAAAATCCCCCAAGCCCTTTGAGAAGGGAACAGGGGCCATAGGGCTAACCCAACCAACCCCGATTTGTAACAAGGGTGGCTGGTAGATGTGTTCCATGTTGTTTCATCTGAAGCACCATGGCTTTTGGATTGATTTTTGTTTGCCCGCGCTGAAGCCGTGGGTGACGAACCTTGCAAGGTCTGTCTTGCAATCCCTCTTTGCCGCTGATTGGTTTCGCCCACCAGGACATTGGATCGAAATGAACGATTTCCTCACTGGGAAGTGACTTAAGTGTTTGAAGCGGGTCCAGCCTGGAACATCTTTTCCCACGGCTTTGTGGAATCTCTCACGCTGCTGAAGACTCTGCCGCAAGTCCTTGGACAATTTGCACTGGCAAAGTTGTCACAGGGGCGCGCGGGGCGCTTTCAGCCAGCCGTATCATCAAAGGTTTTGTCGTTCAAGCCCTTTTTCCCTTGAACCAACGTGCCGCTTAGACTGGATCCTTGTTGCTGTTGGAGCCAGAGAAACGCATGAATCATACAGAGGTGGGGCTACTGGCAAGGAGATGGGTGAATCGGGCCTCTCAGATACGGCCAGCTTGCCTAGGCTAAAATCGGTCATACTTTTTCTCTTAGCATATTTTTTGTGTCATCTCTGAAAGCGTGGTGTTCTCATTCCATTGCCTTTGGTAAAAGCTTTGGATGAGAGTTGGACTTCCTAAGTCAAATCTCCCGTCGCTGGCTCGTTGGCTTCAGGTTATGTGCTGACATGACTCAGTCCTGCAATGTTAAACAAATCGGCAAGTGATTGGCAGCGCCAAAGACTGGGCCCCAGTTTTGAGCAGCTTGCCATCAGTGGGCCGTTGGATCGGTTGCCATACTTGCTGTGGCCTCGCCATGTTGGCCTTCCGCTTTGCCCCGTTCCGACCCAGCCTGAGAGGCCATGAGGTATTGAGCTTCCTTCATGAAAACCATAAAGCCCAACCCATGTCAACCCGCATACCATGTCTTGCGCGGCCAGCAGTCCAATGACCTAACCATTGCCACACTTTTCCTATCTTGTTAGCTGTTTGCCTTTTTGGTGTTTCATCAAGTTGCCTTTCAATCAGGACAAAGTAAACTTTTTGAGGGCCGCTTGGTCAAGAACAATAACCGTATTTTTGCTTGCCAGTTTGAAATCCCACACGCTCCTTCAATTCACTTTGTCGAGCCCTAAGAGTAATACGTTAACTGAGGCCTACGACGTTCAAGAATCTAGTTTCCAGCGTGAGGGAGACACTAACATTCTGAAATTCACCAGGGCCCCTATAAATCCACCCTATTAGTAGTATATTTAGTTTGTCCAAAAAGTCACCTCGCCCCCTTTACTCTTGATTGATCCCATGCTGAGCCAGTACCAAACTTCTGACAGCCTCACTAGGGCTGTCAAGATCAGATTGAAATTCCTTCGTAAAAACAAGTTGCACTTCTACTCGTTCAGTGGCCAGTGAAACCCATTTCCCGAGGAAAAAGGAGGCAACCGTGGGCCCCTGTTACCAAGTATATGTTCTAACAACATGTTTGTTAGTAGGCGGACGGGATGTAATAGGGGGAATCAGTTCATGTGCAGGAAGCCGTTGCTTCCTGCAGAGCACCTGTTTGAAGTCGCAGCGGACGATGCTCGTTTTCCTTTTGGTGGCCTGCCCCACTACAAATGGTCAGACCCAAGCAGGGTTCCCCTTTTTTCTTGACTGCTATTGGGTTGGATCTTTGGACTTTAGCATTATGGGAAATCAAGGGTTTTCCATTAAACCCCCAAAAAGGCAAACTTTTTGCAGTGGGTCAACAGCACCCAAGTTTTCACCAGGGTTTTGCAATTCAGAGAGGCTTCTTTTTCCGGCGTAGCAAGCAAGAAGTATCAAGAAGTCAACCGGCTACCCCTTTTTCATTGTTCCCGGAGTCCGGAGCGCTCGCGCAGGTCTGGTGACCGCGACCACGCCAAAGAAGATTAAGCGCTTTTATGAGGATGTCACCGTCCACCAGTCTGGGGATTTTTGGCACGTGCTGCTGGATGGCAAGGCCAGGGTTAGTTTCAAGGGTGAAACTGGTGAAAGCAGGACTCCAGCATGGAGGGTGCATGTGTTTTTTTTCTGAGTGTCGGAGTTCGAGCGTGCCAGGCAATGATAGGATTTGCTTTTGGCATATTTTTCAGTCATTGCCTTTTTGGTTTGCAGCTTCATGTCCAGGGGCTGCAAAGGCGACGAGACCTTTTGGACACCTGCTTCATATATGGGTGTGGGTGAAAAATACGTACCCAAAATGGATCCCTGGTAAATGCAAAGACTAAAGCCTGCGGTTTTCGGGTGGTTTAATTTTGACCCATACCCATATATATATATATATGTATATATATATATATATGTATATACACATGCATAACCTGCCGACATGCATGAATATATCTTACTGCATTTTTCTGGGTTTCGAGCTCACCCGGTAAAACGAGCCCACCATGTAGGTTCTTACTTGAACATCCTTTCAGGTTTTGTAATTGTAGAGTGTGCTATACATGATATGTATGTATATACATACCCCTATTGACATAGGCAGTACATGGAGAACATGATGCATAATCATCTAAGCATACGCACGAGTATATCCCTTTGCTTCAGGTTTCGGGATTGCTGTGGCTTTTGCAGGGCATATTGATATGTGTTTTTCTATATATATAGACATATTTTGGTGTGTGTGTGTCAGCACAGCATATGCGCACGCATGAATGTATAAATATCAATATATACACATATAAACATATCTATATTCACCGGTAGGTTCCTAAAAGCGTTCAGGAAAGGCTCCTCGAGCTGGTTATATTCATCTACGAAAGTGCGGCTTGGTCCTCAGGTGGTGAAGACGCCCCGCGGCACGGTGCTGGAGCTGCCAGGCAAAGGGGTGGCCAAGCAGGTGGCCATGGAGTGGACGGCACAGGACGGCTGGCGAATCTGTGGGCGAATCTGTGGGCGCGGGGGGGGGGTTCGCCGTTGAAAACGGAATTGGGGCAAGGGGGTGATTTTTCTGGAATTCCATGTATGGTTCCATTTGCCTTTTTGTGGGGAAGCCTCCTCTCCTTCAGGGTAGGGGAGATGTTGCTCCCAAAAAAGGTGATGGGTGTTTGTGGTTTTGCTTCCGGACCCGCTATTGGTTCTCAAGCTTGCTTGACGCATTGCTGACACATTGCTGTCGCTGCGGAAAACCCGCTCATGAACTTTGACATGGGTTGTTTATGTCCACCTTGGGAGCCACCCACTGGGCAACTGGCAAGAACCTGCTGTTTGTCGTTTTCATTGGTACTGCTCTTTGGGGAGCAATCCTCACAGATTGGACTAAATGAGTTCACGAGCCCACCGATTCGGCGCCCGAAAGGTCGCTTTGCATTGCAGCTTGGTATCGACGAGATGCTGTAGAGTGGTTCTGGGGCGTTGGTTCGCCTCTGTGTCAAGCATGGTGACTACGATGGCTGATGCGGGGGTATGGGACTTGAAGGGCTTCCATTCATAGCTCCCTACCTGAGTCCCTGCGCAAAAACAACAGCATCAGAGACCATCTTGTTGACTCTCAACTTGTTGGTTCACAGTTCTCAGGGAAACCGGGAATGGAATGAAAGAACTCTAATTTTCCTAAGCCACATATGTGTCAGTTCAGAGTTCCAAAGCATGTGGCCCCGAAGTTGCAAGGAGATGTCATAAGACTTGCAATCGGGGGGGGGGGGTTCTCAAGCAGGCGACCAACATGGGTGGTTTCCTCTTGGCTTCCCTGAAAACTGACACCGCTTTCCCAAAACGACACATCCGCTGTTCAGAAGCACCCGTTTTCAGACTGCACGAGACGCGGGTGCCTGAACCAAAAGCCCAGGAGACGCACCTGCAGCCCTTGGAGATGCCCTTCACCACGATCGGTGGCTGAGCTGGGCGTTCACGGTCAGCCGTTTATCTTCGGTGGGCAGGGCGTTGTTTTCTTCTTCTCAAACAATAAAGAATAACAATCGATTACAAGTGTCTGTTGATGTTGTTGCTTGGATTGGCTGCGGTTATTTGCTGTGTTCCATGCGTTTTTACGGTGGCGGATGACTCCTTCAAGCCTAGGCTTTCAAACTTTCAAACTTGTGTTGGTTGTCTTTGTTATCTTCTCAGCTGAACAAAGCTACAGCTCAGTGAAGGACAATCTTTCCTGGATTCCTTGTTGCTCTCGCCCCCTGAGTTCCATGAACTTTGGCTCCCAGTAGTTCCCTTTTTACCCTTTCTTTTTTGGGGGGAGGGGCCCCTAAAATAGACTACAGAAAAAAGGATACCCTTATTCTAACCATTTCTAACCTCTCTGCTGGAGGACCTAGTTGTACTTTTGTGGGAAGACCAAGTCAGTGGTAAATATATATCAGTCTTGGTGTGGCCTATCGACTCAAGAAGTGAGCCCTTTACTTACCCACCTAAAGGCAAGTCCATCTGCTTTCAAGGTGTATTTCTGAGAGCGGGTCCGAAACAGAAGGATGCGCTATTGATTGCCATTGGGAACCCTCTCTGCCCACTGAATTCTGGTGTCCATCAGAGGATCTATTTCGATTCACTCCCATGCATCTCTGGCTTGAGAGGTGCCTGATTAAGTCATGGCGATCTACTAGCCAAACTCAGGTCAGCTTTTTGGAAAGTGACAGTTTCCTTATGTTTCCTTCCCCCTCACTAGGAAACGCTTCCCAGGGAGAGACTCCCAACCCGATACTTGAACTCCCCATCACCTCTACACTGTAGCTCGATGGCCTTGTTTTCCTCTGACTCCTTACGCAACGAAAGTTCCGCCATGGACAGCTTTGGTGGAACCGAACTCCGAACCGGTCCAAGGACACCTTCCCAGGTGGGTCTGAGTGACTTTGTGAGGAGGGTGGATTGAATGGGAAACGGCCAGCGCGGGATTTGAACACGTCGTTCTGATCAGTGGGCTGCATTTGGTGTAACACAGTGCCATTCAGACCACTCCTTCCAAAGACTTGTGTTTGGATGTTTTTGAGGTACCGCTCTGAAACCTTTGATTGTTCCTCTGGCGAAAAAGGAAAGCTTGATGTATATTCCACCATATCTTGAACACGCTCTGGCACTTTCAGGAAGAAATCCACAAGCAGGGCATCCAACACATACCCCAGAGACACAGTTTAGGCCAGCCACTCGTGTAAGCATGCTTAAGTCATCACTTTGGTTTCAGCAACATCCTGTTGGCTTCCCTGTGAGGACAGGTGGGCTCTTGATGGTGCATTTCGCACGGAAGCCATGAGTTGAGGATGCACTGCTCTGGACATCACCCGTGAGGACCCCGCTGCTTGTGTGGAGCGTCTCTTGCCCTTTTTGGAGATGGACACAGCGACCCGGCGGAGATCGGAAGCACACACAAGGGGTCCCTATATTTCCTTTGGTGCATTTTGCTTGGATGTTAGGACTTTAACTTTTTGCCAACTAATGAGTTTTCCATTAAACCACTAAAAGTTAAACTATTAGCGGGGGAGCAGAAAGCAACAAAGCAACCGAGTTTCGCAGGTTCGGGGGTTTTAAGGATCGCTGGTTTGTCCCGTTGAAGATAAACTTCCCTTGAGGTGACGCCGGGCCTCAAGATGAACACTTCTTTGTAGTCGAAGATTGTTCGACGGTTTCCCTTAGTTTTCTTTGACCGCATGCATTTAGGTGTGTGTGTGTGTGTGTTTTTGGGGCTACCCTTTTGGTTTAACCGGAAAGCACAAGGAACACTGATACCAATTGTTTGGTCTCCTCTTGGCCACCCCTGTTCTACCCTGATCCACTCGGAGGGGAGCAAGCCTTTTAGCTCAATCGGGGCGAAAAAGCATATATCTTGAGTACATCCATCCAACACCATACCTTCGGTTGCAAGGCCGTTTGGTGAGGCTAACTAGGTTCCTTTGGAATGGTCCCATGTTTGGGGTGGCCTCTGACAACCATGGGATAAGATGTGAATATTGTGTTTGTTGTCTCGGCTCACGTAATCAAGAGCGGCCAAGAATAGAAAAACCTGGCCCACGCTTGGTTTCTTCTTTTAGTGGGCACACGCCCAACCTTTGGTTACACGGCAGCAACCTCCTGCTGCTTTGTTTTTTTTGGGGAAACCCAAACTAGGTTCCCCAGTAGTGCGCTTTTACCAACTTTTTTTGGGGGGAGGTTCCCCTACTAAAATAGACCACTGCAAAAAGTTGGTACCCTTATTCTAACCTTTCTACTGGAGGACCTAGCAAAGGAAAGTTGAGAACCCCCCATTTGCACACATCACCTACTCAAAATACCCGCTTTTTTTTCATGGTATTTTTGGGAACACCTGGATTTCCATGGTAAACACCCTCCTTTTTTAGTAGAGGGTCGACATCACCCCCTGAAAAAAGGCCGGGTCTTTGGAGTAGGGGTTTGCGCGTCGAATCGGCGCAGCCCAGCGCATGAGGTGTGCTTCCAGGGCGACGGGGAGGTTTTGGCGGAGCGACAGCAGCAAGAGTGGGGCCCGCTCAGGGAGTGGTTTCAGACCCAGCGCCTCGGCCTTTTTTTTTTCTCCCCCGAAGCGAAGCTGAGGGAAAACAGAGACTCAGTTGTCCAGTGGCACCAATTATTTTTCCAACTTTTTTTTGTTGGTGGCTGCCCCACTAAAAATGGTCTTCCCCAGAAAGGGTTCCCTTTTCTTTCTCTCGGGTAACCGAACAACTGAGCCTAGAAGTCTGGGGGCCGGAAGCCAAAGAGGACGGAAGGGATTCAATATTCTCCAGACCTATACAAGCTTAGGAGCCCCAGTGGCCAGTGCCTTTTGGCCCAACACTACCAGCTGAACCTTTCTTCCGGGTCCTTTGGACAAAACTTGCCTGGGAGCTCTCAAATTCACTTGGATTGTTTGGCTTCCCCCTACGCCCCAAATGTAATTACATGCTTACCCCGTCCCGAAATAACAATGTTCATTTGGGAGGAGCAGTGTTTATTATAGTACGTGGGTAGCGGGAGTTCCTCTACCGTCCTCGTTCGACTGGGTCCCCTAGTTTCCGGGCCGAAACTTGGTTCCAAACTGCGCTATTTCCGCGTGAGGAATTTCATTCAGCAGAAGTCAAGATGCATTTTTCAGATTTCCGCTGGTTTCGAATTGACTTCGACCCCCTGGGTTTGAAGCTTCACCAATGGCCACAAATTGAAGAGGTCGTTTTGGTTGTGCGATTTTGCTGCTTCCGAGAAGCAAATGGAATGTGTCTAGGCAACCGCCTCACAGCAAACATATGACGGTAGTGTGAGTCGCTTGAACTGGTTTAAGTGGGAGCTCTTGGGGTGCAATTCAAACCGAATCTTGATACCCAAAAGGATCAGCAGGCTTTGGGGCGCAATCTGAATCCCCTTGTTTTGGGGATTTCTGGGATCTGTTTCGTGCGGAACTTGTGGGCCTCGAAGGAAACATGTGAAAGGGCGGACGGTCACTGTGGCAACAAGCGAATACCAAGCCTCTGGCGGAGTATGGAAGTCGTTGTATGTGCCTCTGAACGATTTCACCGATTCGTTTGGCTAAGCGATGGATTTACCCCGACTGAACGGAACCACCATTTTGCGAGCAATGCCCAGAACGCGCGAGCCCCACATGATCCTCAAAACAGGTAGCCTCTCTGAAAAAACGAGCGTCAGACCAAAAGCAAACCACGATACTGTTCAAAGTGTTGCTAACGCAGCAAGTTGTGGGGAAGCCAGGGGAATCAAAACAAGGGGAGCGGGTCGAGCTTCTGGGTCGAAAGTTTGCCTTTACACCCAGGATCCGGATGCAAAGGGACTGAAATGGGGTACCAATTCTGTACCTTGACCTAAATTCACAGTGCAATTCTCTGGTTTTGTTCTTGTCTTCTAGATCAGTGGGTAAGACCCCCCTGACCTTCGAAGCAAAATGCAGCCCTTTAGAAGGGGCTCCAAATACAAAATTATACCGATGTATATAACTTCTTTTTATACATATATGACTGATTATAAGTGATATGTGCATAGATAAATCTATATACACATCTGCTTCCTTTTGGACGGGGGGGCCTGTAAACCTCTACACTTCCATGTTTCGGAGGGTAAGAACCCAAGACCTCTCAGATTCATTTTTTTTGCAGGTACGGCGTGCGGCTCAGCCTTGCCTCGGGCCTCGCGGCACCTCAGCACCCGGAGGCGCTTCTACTGGGCGGGAGGGGGGGGAGGAGCCTGTGTGTGTGTAGCATACAGCTTGATTGCTATTGGGTTGGATCTTTAGACTTTAACTTTTTGGAAAATAGAGGTGTTTTCCACTAACCCCCCAAAAGTTAAACTTTTTGCAGGGGGGTCAACAGCAACCAAGACAGGGACTCTTTGTGGGGGGGCGGGGGGGGGGGAGGGGGGCGGGGGGGGATTGTGGGGGGGGGGTGGCCGAATCCGGATTCCAGATCCTGCGCTGTCTATGTTGATGGCAATGTGTGCATGGCACAGACGATCCATCTCGGCGGGCATCCCTTAAAAAACAAGACGGAGCCCACGAACCCGAATGCACATCACTTTGCGCAAGCCCAAGAAAAAATTGGAGAGACCATTTTTCGGTAAAAGCCAATGGGGCTCGCAATCAAGCCTACTGCGCAAACTATGTTTTTCAGCTTGTAAAACTGTACTTTGCGTGCTCCGCTTGTTGCTACAAAGAAACGATTTTCAATCTGGAGCTGGACACCTGCGCTTCGCGCGCTAGACTTGTACTGCAAACTTGCGATTTTCCAGCCGGAGCTAGTACTTCGCGCACTAGACTTGCGCTACACAGCTGCGATTGTCCGCAGTTATCTTCGCCTACAGTTCTTGTAGGACTGTGTCGGAACCTTATTGCTGTCCCCCAGAGCTGCATAATTGCGACCTCGAAGTTAGATGTACGACTGTTTTTTCCTGGGAACTTGCTTGGTTGGATGGTTGGTGGGTGGGTGGGTCGGGTTGGGTTGGGTTGGGTTGGGTTGGGTTGGGTTGGGTGGTTGGTTGGTTGGTTGATTGGTTGGTTGGTTGGATGGTTGGTCAGCTGGGCGGCCGCATCCCCAGCATCACCAGCCTCGCTCAGACTAGGGCTGCCTATTGGCTTTGATTTGTTGGCAGCTCAGAGTTGCTCTGGGCTGGTTTCGGGCGATTGTTGGGCTTTCCAAGGCCCGTCCTCATTATATAAGACCTCAGAAAGCCCAACAATCGCCCGAAACCAGCCCAGAGCAACTCTGAGCTGCCAACAAATCAAAGCCAATAGGCAGCCCCAGTCCGAGAGAGGCCGGGGATGCTGGGGATGCGGCCTTGTGCTGAGCTGGGGAAGCCGGGGCTAGCATTAAAAAAAGAAAAAGAACCTCAACCGTTTTTCTGTACCTGATGAAGGCTTCTTTCGTACGACGTTTTCCGTTTTGGGGGTGGTGTGGATGAGCATAGAAGCACAATCCTTGTTCTTCGCAGGGCCCCTCTTGAATTCCCGCTTGGATCTTCATGGTTGAACCAAAGGCAACTGTTTTTGCTCAGGGTCCGCCAGGGAAAAGCCACAAACTGATTCTCCCAAGTCTTTCAGTATACATACCTTTTTCGCGGACGAAATTCGTGCCGGGTTTACGCCGCGTCGTTGGAGTTTGATCCAAGCCGATGTTTTCGCTGGGCAAAGGGGCTACATGATCCCCACCTCGCACCTTGCTTGACATACATTGTCCACTTACCATCCAGGGGAACTGGAGCTTTCCAAACTCCTGCCCCTTTGCGGAGGTCCAAGCCCTCCCCACTGTTGATCCCAGACTTTAATAGTAGAACCGCTCGGTGGTTTGAGGGGGTCGCGGGTTCGCTTCGGTCCTAGTTGCTGGCTCGCTTCGGTCCTAGTTTTCATCTCGCTTCGGTCCTAGTTTCCTTACTCGCTTCGGTCCTAGTTTCTTCGCCGTTGACTATGGTGTTTGAGAGGCAACATCCTTGTCGACCCCACCCCACCCGGCATGTCTTGTTGTTAGGTGTTTGAGAGGCAACATCCTTGTCGACCCCACCCCGCCCGGCATGTCTTGTTGTTAGGTGTTTGAGAGGCAACATCCCTGTCGACCCCACCCCGCCCGGCATGTCTTGTTGTTAGGTATTTGAGAGGCAACATCCTTGTCGACCCCACCCCGCCCGGCATGTCTTGTTGTTAGGTGTTTGAGAGGCAACATCCTTGTCGACCCCACCCCGCCCGGCATGTCTTGCTGTTAGGTGTTTGAGAGGCAACATCCTTGTCGACCCCACCCCACCCGGCAGTTCTTGTTGTTAGGTGTTTGAGAGGCAACATCCTTGTCGACCCCACCCCACGCGGCATGTCTTGTTGTTAGGTGTTTGAGAGGCAACACCCTTTGCGTGTGTCCTGTTGTTAGTGCTCAAAAAGCTATCTTCCACTGCGCCTGAAGTGATCCAAAAATTGCGACAGAAGTGATCCGCAAATGCTCAAACTACGACCAAAGTGAGTGGATTTCAGCTGCGACCAAAGTGATCCAAAAACTGCGACCAAAGTGATCCCCCCGCCGTTTGAGGGTGGAGTCCCCAAGTCGTGTGGGCCCCAAAATGCTAAATCATAAGCTAGGGGTTTACTCCCCTACAGAACATGGAGCCAACAAGCACCATTTGTAGAGGAAACTCCTTGAGGGCTTCCATCCGTTAATTGTAAACGCTTCGCGTTGCCCGCCTCGGCCCAGCCTAGTTTGAGGGAAGGGTCAGGAACGACTGGGGGGCTTACTTTGAGACCAGTCTCAGACTGCGCCGAAGACACGGTGGATGACTTGGGGCCAGGCAGCCGGACTGAGGGGCTGGGGCACGCCAGACAGGCTTAGTAGCTGGCATAGCTTGAAACCAGTCTCAGACACGGGAGACTGGTCGTTGGCCGGAGGCCAGTCGACACGTTGGGCGGAGCCTGCTGGTGGGCTGGGAGCTGATGCCCTGAGATGCGCCGGGGCCTGGGCTGTGCAGGCTGGGCTGGGCTTGCTGGATGACTTGGGGCGGGTTGCTGGTTGGGCTAGGCCTGTTTCAGACAAGCTTGGGCCTGAGGCTGGGTGGGCTGGGCTGACAGGCCTGGCCAGCAGGCGGGTTGCTGGTTGGGCTGGGTCTGAGCCTAGTCTCAGACACGTCAGACAGGCCTGGCCAGCAGGAGGTCATGCTTTTCAGCAGGATTTTGGGCCAGCCGACATGGGGGCCGGCAAAATTTTGGTTGGGAGCGAAGATTCTCTTTGGAGAAGAGATCTGAGCGCCCTTGGCCCCTTTGGGGCCGAGGCGAATTTGGGGGTTAGGGTAAAATCCCGTGTTCAAGATTCATTTCTAGATCCTTGGATCCCTCTCTGCATTGGGCTTGCTCATAATGTGTTGTTGTGGTTTGCTCCTCAAGCTACCCCTGGTGACCTCTGCGAGTACTCATCCTCAAGATCTGCTCCGGATTGGTCAACCCGAGGTACTATGGGGCTCCCTCCAACAGTAATTCAGATTCGTGCCCCCCCGCCCCCTAATCCTCCAGGGGGGCATGAATCCTGGGTTCGTTCAACAAAGGTCTGCATGCCGCAGCGTTTTCTTTCAACTGCGCATGTCGCGCGGTATGAAGTGCTATGGAAATGCCGGATGGCATGACCACGATTACGCTGAGCCAGCATGGCCTGACCATGTCCACTTTGCTCGCCCTTTTGGAGTCCAGTGCCGAGGGGAAGTATGACTCTCGCGCAGCCAAGTCAGAGTTCTCATATTGTTTCGCCGTTTTGGTTTGAAAGGAAAGGACTATGCGCTTTTTCCCTGCGCCGCCTTTAAGTAAATATCCCGGAAGGACATGTACAAGTTGATCCGGACTTTGCCTCCGGTCCTGGTTTGAAAGCTTACCTTTCCAAATTGCCACGGCACTTCATGGAGCCTAGGACAACTCTCTGACCCTTGATGCCATGGGAACGTGTGACGGGTGTCTTTTGATGTCTTTTGCTTGAGTTTGAAGAACGTGGATATTGAACTTAGGGGTTCAGCTTGCGTCCTGTGAGGATTTCATTCACTTCCCGCATGACCGCGATGCATTGACCTTTCAAGCGTTGATCAATTTCACGGACCCGGCCGTTGCAAAGCGGGCCTCGGCAGATTTCACCCAGATCGAGTCTATGAGAGCGCCTCGCTGGCTGTTGCCAAGCGTTCGCCCGGGTGGGGTGGGGTGGGGTGGGGTGGGGTGGGGTGGGGTGGGGTGGGGTGGGGTGGGGTGGGGTGGGGTGGGGTGGGGTGGGGTGGGGTGGGGTGGGGCGGGGTGGGGTGGGGTGGGGTGCTGTTCCGGAAATGGCATGTAAAGCTCGACCACAAGGAACCACTTCGCTGCTTTGAGAAACAGCATCTAGGCCAAACATGAGACTTTGCATAGGGGAGCTCAGCGGGAAGATGAATGTTAGCCATAGCAAGGGTTTTTGGTGGGGATTTTGTGGGTTTGTGCATTCGGTTTTGCCCACAACTTACCTTGCCCGGTCCACAGTTTTTCAAGCCCTAGAAGTGGCTTGGGCCGAAATGTGTAAACTAGCGATTCGAGGCGGTTCCTGTTGAGGCAACTTTAGACGGGCTGTTTGTGATTCCGCGCCAAAACTTTCACCGGCAGTTGGGCCCGGGCATGCTCCCATCTGATCGTGTCAAACACCTCGCCCCGCGATGTAGTTTGATACAATTGTTAGCTAGGTCCCCCAGCTAGGTGCCCTTTTACCAACTTTTTTGGGGGGAGGGTTCCCCTACAAAAATAGACTACAGAAACAAGGGTACCCTTTTTCTAACCTCTTTACTGGAGGACCTAGTTAACCTCTGTGGGCATGAGTAGAACATGGGATTATGGGATGCTCGCCCTGTGACGGTTGCAGCCCTCCCCATGTCAACGGATCCACACTCTAATTGAGCTGGACATTCCAGAGGATATTCCCCTCATTGGCTTTGCCACAGAACTGGACATCCACCAATCAAGAAAGAAAGAATTGCCAAACAAACCACCCTGCTACAAATACAGATGTTGGCAGAAACAAACAACTCCTTACTAGAAGCACTTTGTTTTTGCCCTAACCGTCTCGACTTTTGCTCCCAGACCTGTAGTGGTTTGTGTTTTGTCCTCGCTTTTTTGGGGTGGTCCCTTTAAAACCAACCACAGAGATCGAGGTTGCGTGTGTTTTTTTCATGGCCAGAGGCCACAGGCCTGGTTTCTTCCCCGTTTATGTGGCCACTTCTCATGGCCACACGTGTCATATGTCCGACTTTGTTGGGGAGCGAGCATTTTGTTTCCCTCCAAGTGCAGGCTTGGGGCGAGAACTTCTGCTGAGCCTGAAGCAGGAACCGACCGACCAAGCGACTGACTGACCCACCAAATAAACCAACAAACCCACCGACCAACCGATTGACTGACCTGTGAGGTATCTTTCCCCGGAGCCCAGGGCTTGAGGCAACTGCTTCTTCGCCACGTGCACCGCTGGGGTCGCGATGGCCTCACGGGCGTGCACGCGCCCCGCTGCTTCCGAGACGGACGGGAGGTGCCGAATCTGGAGGCGGGGAAATTTGGGCCGTGGGAAACGTTTTTTTTTTGGGGAGAGGAGATGACATGGGGCACGCACAGACACACCGAAATATGAGTTATTCACTGATTCACTGATTCACCCCAACACAACGAATATCCGTGGCTCGGGTCACTTTCCTTTGGCTGCGCGCTTTGAGCTTACGGACTGTTTGCTCCATCTTGGGGACACCAGAGCCTTGGTTGGGTCGCCGGGAAACCAGAGGCCGCCTAATTTCAGTCCCATTGATGTGCTGGTGGAAGGGTTTGAAAAGCGTATATAGTTCTATGGAATGCCTAGGTGGGGTGGGTACAAACGGCTGTGGCCAGTGGAGAGCCCTAGGGCTCCCCCTACGGTTCCTTGGAGAGGCTTGGGAAACCATCAAGGCCCCCGCCCCCCCCCCCCCCGACAGTCCATACGAAGTTCTTGAGGCCCCAGGGTGAAACCAACAAAATGTCAAGCTTGAGCGCGAAGACTTCAGTAGTAAACTCATGGAAAGGATCTAGGTCCTCCAGTAGAGAGGTTAGAGTAAGGGTACCCTTCTTTTCTGTAGTCTATTTTTGTAGGGGAAACCTCCCCCCCCAAAAAGTTGGTAAAAGGGCACTACTGGGGGACCTAGGGAAAACGTCCCAGTTGGGTTTGGGTTTGTCTGTCAACCACATCAGTTTTGTCCCACACCCAGAGGGGTTCTGTGACGAGGCGTTCTGCGAAGAGGTCCTCGAATCTCTTCCTGCACCCCGAAAGGCACAGACAGCTCACGTACTGCGCAGTTTGTTGAAGGTAGATGACAAAAGTTTTTCATGTCGACCCCTGATTAGTAAACCCCCCCCTCTGTGTTTACTCAGGGGCGTCCTTTTTTAGTGGGGATTATTTTCTTCCAAAAAATCCGGGATTAAACTACCTTGTGGGGGGTTTCTAAGCAGGGGTCAGCCTTGTAGGTTTGCTCCTGCTGTATCAAAATCCTCGAAAAATGAGGTTTTTGTAGGAAAGTTGTTCGAAAACCTGGTTAGATGCGGTAAAGTCACAAGGTTAGGTGCAACCAGTTAAAAGGGAAATGCAATGTACTTTCACCCTATATTTTCCATTTGTTGGATCATTGGACCTGCTTTTCAGGCACCTGGGATCTCCCCTGAACATGTTTGTTTTTTGGGTAGATAACACGTGCAAGTTCACAAGACAACAGCCTGGTGTACCGCAAAACCGTCGAGAAAAGAAAAAGAACATGGGGCGGGGCAGCCTCTTTCGCCAAGGACTGCGCTGAGCCCCGGGGTCCCGGGGAATTGAGATTGAGACTCCCTGGCGGTGAGGAGGTGGGGCTCAATGGACTTTCGGCGCCCCGGCTTGGTTTCGCTTTTCAATGAACATGGTTAACCAGGCTTATACAAACCGGCTTGGTGTTTTGCAGGTGTTTTCCAATCATGTCTCTGTTGCTTGTTAAACGAACAGATGTTTGGCTAGACTGAATATGGCACAGAGTCAGAACATATTATTTCCTCTGTACCCCAGATGTGATTCCACCAAGATCCGTGTGTTGAAATTTCACTCCCTTGTTTCTTGGGCTTTGTTCCGTATGCAATAGGTTTGGACCTTGTTTCGGCCAATCCACTCAGGACGGGACGTGATTGTCAGAACGGAATCATTGTTTGGAAAAGACTCCTGTTCAGCGCTTTCAACAGAACACACACACACACAATTTTCCCATGTCCACTTGCGGCACATAATCTTGTTCGTGGGTCAGGGGACATTTCGTTCTCCCCTTGAGGGCTTCTCATAAAATAGAGGAAACCAAAGGAAAACAACCGCCTGAAGGGGTCCCCAGTTTGAGAAACGCAATGTTTCCCTTGTTCCCTTGCTTGCTTGTTCCCTTGCTTGCAGACTGGAGCTACTCCGGTCAGGGAGATTCCCTTAGTCCAAGGGTGTGTGGCCCCTCCGGCATCCACTCTTTTTATGGCCTGGGTAAAGAGTGTTGGCTTGTTTAATGTGAAACACCAACACCAATGGAACAATGATATGGGTGTGTGTGTGTTTTTTGAGTTGGTACCCTTTTTGGGGTTGGTCGAAAGGGAAACGGAAACCAGAGCAACACCCACCAGTATTGGTCCCCTATTTGAGGACACGCCCATGTGTTGTTGCCTCCTTTCGCGCACCATGGCAAGGTGCATCAGCATCTTTCTGGCATGCTGATATTCAGACTCTAGCGAAAGCGGAATCCAGGGTTTCGATGAACGGCCCATCGCCGTTTAAAAAAAACGCGCCCGGCACAAATTGCTTCAGCGGCGTGTCGCGGTTTGCCCGCGTGTTTCTTGATTCAGGCCTTAGACTCTTTTCAGTCGTGGGCTGGGCAAGGTGTGAAGCATTGGCCCCTGCAGACATTTTGAAGGGGACAAATTGTTGATTGGTCTTGTTTTAACCTGGGGCAGGCAAATTAATGGTCCTAGCTTGGCTGGAGACCATGTGAAGGTTGGCCCAACCCATGTGTTTGCGTGTAATTCGAGCGCAACGCATGCAGCAACATTTTGCCTGCTTTCATGAAAACAGTGAGTCTGCGCATCGGAGGCTACAGGTTTGCAGCGGCAGCTCGGGAAAGCCTTTTTTGCTGGCATGGGTTCCATGTTAGTGACAGACAGGAGGCTACCATTGTCTTTTTGGCGAAGCCTTTGACGTCGTGGGCATGAGGCCCAGCCGACTTACTGGTGGCTTAGATCTGTTGGCAAGGCCCATCGTTTCCTTGCGCTGTTGCTTGTTACCTGTGTCTCGCTGCAGCTCGGGGGGCCAGTGGGGGGCGGGTGGGAGGCGTGATTTCAACTTTAGCTCGGTCTTTCAATTTGCTTGATTGATGGGTCCTTGATTAGACGAATCAAAAGGCGGATGTCCTATTTCGAGGCTGGGGCGGATTCTTCACAACGCAAAGGCGTAGAAGGCCCCGAGCTATTTCTTAGAGTTTTGCGGGCCTCAGGGGCGAGGAAACCGTGCCCTTAGGCAACACGGAAGCCACACACCTTGTCCAGCTTACTTTCATGGGTTCCCATGCGTTTTGGCGGGTTGCTACAAAACTTTCCATGGAATCGCCTGGGCACCAGGGCGGGGTGGTACCGGCTCGGCCGCTTCGCGGGGGAAACAGGGGCGAGGAGGGTTGCTTTTGGGCTGCTGGAACAGGGGAAGAACCTTTTCTGTTTGGAGGGGGGGCATGGTCCCATTTAAGAGACGTTGGATCACATGAGGACACTTTTTTCGGCTGCTCGGGAACCAACAGGAAACCACCTCTTGTTGTTTGGAGGGGCGGGTCACATTTAAGAGACAACCCCATGTGCCCCCCTCGATTTGTCCTGACTTGCAGGAGACCTTGCCCAAGGTGGCAGAGAAGCTGCACGACAAGGACACGCTCAGGGTCGGGCCTTTTATTTGTTCGTCAGTTTGTGTGTCTCTCTCGGTTTTTTGTTGGTTTGGGTTTGCCGTTTGCCACACGCTTGGCCCATAGGCTGGAATACAAAACCATTTCGTTCTTAGGAGACCTTGACAAGGAGCCCTTTTGGGATCCAAGCGAAATTAGCAGACCAAATGGTTTGTTAAGAGGACCAATAAACATTAAGAATGCATGGTCTTTTGGGGAAGGCTCGGACGGGGTTCCAGACCAGCAGCTGCACACATGGAAAGAACATAGGGATGCTGCCTACGCGCAGCCAGCGATGGTTCCGACTTCGGCGCGCAACAAGCCGAAATTGCATGGCTGGTTTTTTGGTTTTCGCCAATGGACCAGTCAACCGACCGAATTTACCCGACCACCATTCTTTTCAGGGATCCTCAGAAAGTGGCCAACGCCTGGCGAAATAGATAGCTTGCACAAGTTTCAACAAGGAGAACAATGTGAATGCGGAATTAACATGAATCAACCTCTAGAATAAGAATGGACGGAGTGTGCAGAGGCAGGTGTAGCATGGGCCCAAACAAAGGGCACCCTTGATTTGGCGGGAAGCTTCCTCCAACAAACATAGAACAACTGGCAGTAAGCCCGCACGAGGGATCGTGGGTTTTAACCTTGTAGAGACTGGTGTCCACCTGCCGAATCGCTTCATCAAGTGACTCGATGAAACGAGCGGGTGGGCTTAGCATTTGGCCCGGCGCTCGCTGCTCAGCGGGTAAACTTGGGCGAAAGCACTTTCTATTAAGGAAGGCATGCGCGCAGTGCTGAGCGGGTGCACTGGAGTGAAAGCACTTACCATTAAAGAAGGCATCCGCGCAGTGCTGAGCGGGTGCACTTGAGCGAAAACACTTACTATTAAGGAAGGGCTGCGCGCAGTGCTCAGCGGGCGCATGGAGCGGGTGGGCTTACCATTTGGTCATGGAAGCAACACTGGGAACAATTGAGAAGGCACTCACCATCGGGGGGTCACGGTGCGCTGCTTTGCTGTGAGGTCCCATCGGTTTCTCTTAAGGAGTGGCAATGCCTTCTCAACTTGTTCAGCTCTCGGCAATAAAACGGAGAAATAATCAAAAACAATCGAGCGGCCGTTAAAAAAGCACGCGCCCCCTGAGAGGAACCGCACAAACCAGGGTAACTGTAAAATCTTGGGCTGGTTTTTGCTGCCAACACGCGACTCGCAAATCCAGATTCGGGCCAGGATTCTTAAACAAATAGGGATTGCCTAATGTTCCTACTCAAATCCGATGGACATCTTTGGCCTGCCTTTGCTGCTGGTGATGATTCCGCTTGATGCGCTTGCAAATCAATCTTGACACCCCAAAACACTCAGTAGAAGAATAGCCTTTTGGGTCTTTTCGGGTGCGCCATAAGGAGTGTAGATGGGACGACATCCACATAGAGGCGCAGTGATCTGCTAGCCCCCTGCCAGTCCCGCTGGTTACCAAACCACGCCTGCACGAAGCAATGATAGACTCTGGACACGCGACGTCTCCCTAGTTTTATGGGCTCCCTAAGAAAAGTGTGCCGTCTCAGGGGTTCTTATGCGTCTGTGTCTTCGCGTGTTTGCAGATCAACAAGCAAGGTTTTTGCATGAGGAATGATAGTTTCAAGAAAGAAAGGCATCACAGTTCCCAGCGCTAACGTAGTGCAAGTAGGTTCCAAGATCCGGAGGCCCACCTTCAACACCTCTGCAAATCCCAGACCTCCGGCCGCGCCCTTTTGTCCATTTCTGTCGCAGAGGGTTCGTTCTGAACCCCGCATCAAAACATTGCCAGCACAAGTGTTGTGCTTTTGTTTCAATTGGCTACTGGAAATGTTTGTTTGTACGAAGTAGGGTTTCATTCTTGTGCGAGACCAAGGAAACTCTCCTTCTGACAAAGTCGCCAACCGACTGGGAATCCAACGTTGGTATCGCAGAAAACCTACATTTCTTCCACGCGCCTTTCGTGGTATCTTCTTTCTTCTTTTTGGAGGGAGTCGTTTTCCGTCAAATCCACAGGATGCGACAGATCAACCTAGCGGCTTCCATCAAACCCTCGCAATTGTTTCCCATGGCCACTGCGAGCCGGCGGTCCGACCTCAGGACCCCTGGGAGCTTTGCGCCCTTGAGATCGCCACTCAGACCGCTGGGGCCCCCGGGGAATTTCTGCGGCAAGTGCGCAGAAGCTTTGGAGGTGAGCGGAAAGAACCAGTCTCACTCCCGGTCACAACAAAAGGTAGGCAAAAAGGTGGGACTCTCTGTTTGACCAATCCAGGGGAGGAGGGGTAAAGGGGTTATATAGACCCTTTGTAGCCTGGTCGTGGAACGCGCGCTTCTACAGCCACTTGTGCTGCAATGGCCGAGAAGAGGAAGAACGCCGCGACGAGGGAAGGACACAGAGCAGCGGCCTGTGGGCCAAGGCCGGCCGGCAAGCCAGATCTGGCTGCTACCCTGCTGCACAAGGAAACTACTGTCCAAGACAATCAGCAAGCCATGTCCTCGTGGAAGGCATGGAAAGCCAGGTTCTGTTTTTTCTTGCACCCGCAGCACTAGCCGGTTTTCACGTATTGCCTTTCGAACTCTAAATCATGGAGTTTGAGGTGTAGACCCACACGCAATTTCTGGGCAACCCCCCCCCCCCCCCCCATTTGGCCACAATTTGGATGTGGAGCTGTTTGAGAATGGCTGGTGGAAATACGACTTATATGTGGTTTGGATTAGCGGCCCGAGCTTCCGTCCAAGACCAAGTATATGGGAGGTACCGCCATGTACCGCCAAACCACCAAACCACCAAACCAGTGCTGAGGCGAAGAGCCTTGTGGTGGCCAGCGCTTTGCTGGACCGGCACAACACGGCTGAGGAGACGCCGCAGCGCTGACGGGGGTCTTTGCTCTCACGGGGCGGGGCGGGGGGTGGCTACGAAGGGAACGGGACACGTAAGTGATGATATGTTGTTAAACAGAAGCTTCAAAAGGTCCTTGCCAAGTCAGACATCCTTTTCTCCTTTGGCCACTTCAACCCCGGAAAGAGGATTCTCAAGATTTCGATCTAACCCGACGCATTCGGGTGAACAATTTTTGAGAGGGGGTGTTGTGGATTTGTCCAGGCCTGCCGGCCTGCAGATTCCCGGATTTGACCTCATTTGCTGGTGCACTGCTTTTGATGTTCCCAAATCGGATTTCATCCTGGCGGAAGAAGATGACAAAGTGCTCACCTTTCAAGTGCTACCTTCCCCATTTTTGCCAGGGATCCTTCTTTCTAGAAAACCTCCGGAAACCCAGGAAAACGGCCGGTTTTCGAAAAGAACCATGGTTGGAAAGAATGGTTGGAATCCACCCAATAACGCCAACCATTTCGGTAGTAAACCCAAAGTTTAGACCTTTTTTGGGGGGCCTTTCCACTCAGAAAGTGATAAAATCATGGGATGGCCAACGCTCCAACCGGGAAGCTCGAGGAGATCTTGCGCCTGGCGCAGCTCGAAGAGGACTTCCAGATCGAGCGCGGCTCGCCTGACAAGAGAAAGCGGCCGGGGGTTGGGAGCCTTTGGTGTCGATATATATATATATAAATAGTTATAGAACACATATATATATATATATACATATCGTTGTTTCCATATATGTTGTTCTTCATGTCCTTGATCATGAATTTGTTATTCATTGGTTTCTGTATTGATTTATCTCTTCGGTTTTGTAGTATGTTTATGGTTATATCGCATTTATGTATGTTCTCCTCTCTTTTTTTGTGTGTGTGTGTGCTATTATTCATTTATGTTGTTCTTTATTTATTTATTGTTTCCTTTTGTTCTTTCTTTCTTTCTTACTTGCTTTATTTCTGTCTTTGCTTATTTCTTTCTTTCTTTCTTTCTTTCTTTGTTTCTTTCTTTCTTTCTTTCTTTCTTGAGGTCTTTGTCTTGTTATGTCTGTCTTTCTTTAGTTCTTGCTTTCTTTACTTATGTGCTTCTTTCTTTCTTTATTTCTTTCTTTCTTTCTTTCTTTCTTTCTTTCTTATGTTCTCAATTTATCACTTTTTGTGTTATTGATTTGTTCCGTTCTATCTACGTGTGTTTCTTTATGTAGTTATTCTGTTCAATATGTATTTCTTTGTTTCTTCTTTCCTTCTTTCTTTCTTCCTTTCTGTTTTTTTGTCTTGGTGTTTGGTGGTTTTTGGAACAAGGACTTGTTGATGTCGGAGTATTTGTTGCGGTCTTCCTTCCCGAGGTTTGATTTCAACGCTTTGGTTTCCGTATAAATCACGGACTTAGTTGACAGGACTTCAAGCGGTTACTCTCACTCCTTATGGACTTTTTGGCACTTTTTTTGTTTGGACCATTGTACCCAGAGTCTCGTGGGGCTTTCGATGGAAACCCGACTCCTCCATTAGACCCCGGTCTCAAAACCTGGTTGTTTGAGGGCCCTAAATGCCTCGGGCGCCTCTGGGTAGTGGTAGTCCGAAGGTTCGGACTTTGGCCAATCCACCGAAGTGAGTAGGCATGTTACGTCATCTTTTTGCATCCATGCGGGTATGGGTCAAAGTTGTTTTTGGGGGCATGTAGTTTTATCGCAACATGTTTCAACGCCACGGCCAATGCGCCGTTTGGCTCAAGCTTTTTCGTTCCGGCAACTCTGCTTGCAATCACGTCGGCGCCTCATCACGGCGACCTGGAAATCTGCAGCAAAAGGTGCTGCGGCTTTCCGTGGTCGGTGGTGGTGTTGCTGGTGGTTGGTCAGGACTTGGGATTGGGAACGGTGCGCATTTGGTTTGCTTTGCTCGCTTCGCTTCGCTGCATTGTTTGCCTGCTTGGTTTGCTGCTTTGTGCTTGCTATTGGTTGTCTCTGCCCTTGCTGGGCTTCTTTACCTTGTTACAACTGGCACCCTGTTTTGGTTCGTGTTTGGCCAGCCGAGGGCAACCGCTTTGCCCTTGGGACTGGGGGGATAAGGTGGTCTCTTCTTGTTGGTGGGTTAGGGCCTGTTTTATCCATCCCGAAACTCTGTTTCAAACCCTTTCGCAGGTTATCAGCCGTAGGATTCGTCCTCGGTTGGCACCGCGAACCCCATTTAATAACAACCCTGCAGGCGCCGTTTTCCATAGGCTACTGTAGGACTCATGGCGGGAATCACAGAGGATGGACCTCATGTGGTGACCGATGAGTGGGTTCTCGGCCAGGCCGGAATCTTGGACGTTGTGAATGACGACCAAGTGCCCGGACAGCCGATGTTTTCCGGTCCTGACTTTTTGTCGGACCACACTTTTTCAGAAGCAATGCCTTCAGGAAGATCCAGTGCTACTCGCACTGATGATCTATCGTCTAATGCCTCAAGAGCTAATCGCTCTCAGGGTCATGGGTCTAATCGTCCTGGCCATGATGATTCCGTCTCAGGACGTGATGATGACGAGCCCGGTATTGCACCTGGAGCTCAATCCTCATCTTTCCCCGAGCTGATGAATATTGGTCAGTCCGAAATTCGTGACTCCCGAGGCAGCAGTAGACCTGTGCCAACCAGTAGCATAGCTTTTCAAGTGCTCGGTAATCCCGAACCTGGTACATCCAGTGGAGTTGCATTTGATGTTCATCTGCCGACCGAATCCGGTGGGCTCGATTGGAGAGCCTCATGGCCCAACGACGGAAACATTTTTGGTATGGATTTTGCCGCATGGATGCCAGGGCCACCCGCCCCGTCATCTTTCCCGCAATTCCAAAGCCCAAAACGGGCTGCTGGAAGCGATGAATTCATGCTACCTTTGTCGATTGAGAATCTCAATCCTGACGTTGCCAGCCGTAACGTCAGGCCAAGGCCGTCGGTAAACCCGACCATGAGGAACATGTCCCCTCCCCCAGGACTTTCAGGATTTGAGAGCCCTAGGGAGCGTAATATCGTAGATAGATTGGATTTGCATCCCAGTCCAACCCCAAGCAAACGATCAAGGTCAAATTCGACTGGATCGCATAGGGCAAGGGGGATGGATAGGGAAACTGCCCACAGGGGTAACCCCAATACGCGGGACTCAGGACGCGGTCGATCAGGTGACCCAGCGTCGATCATTGGTAGAGACCCGTTAAACGCGGACACACTCGTTAACGTGCTTGATGGGATCGAAGCATTCCAGGAGGAATTTAATAGGTCAAGTGGCTTGAACGCGCAAGGCGTTCGCCCTACGCCCAACGCGGCTTCCATTTTCGCCCTGGACAACATGGACGGAGCTAATGTTCCGATAGAATCTGAGTCCATGATGGCATCAAGTTCCAATCACAACAACACCGTCAGCAGCGCCACCGATGTTGAATCAATGTCTGAGTCTAGAGCGTCCAATGCGACTGATTTGCATGACGTTGTCATTGCCGATATGAAGCCTGAAGTTCCTATGCGGACTGATAGGCCGGTAGTTCCCAAATTGTTTGTGACAAAGGGTCTAGGCATGCCACAGCCATCAGCGGTTCGTGATGCCAGAAGATCTGCACCGTATCAGAGTCAGTCTCCGAATCGGAGCGAATTCCCACGGCCATCAACGGCTGTACAAGATGATTTCAGGACACCTCCGAGATCTAATCCGATCATGGTTGATTTGTCCACTCCTCGAGATCGCGGATCAGGATTTGGTCCTGCGAGTGAGGAGCAACCCAACGAGGTTGCTGATCTTGTAACAGCCCTTGAAAGAGGGAGAGTGGACTCTTCGGTAAGTGCGATCATTCATCGCCTGGTTGCTAAGGTCGAAGACCTTGGGCGTAGGAATGATAGAAGTGATCAATGCATCAAGCAGCTCTCCACTGAGGTTAACTCGTGGAGGGCCAAATACGACCAATGCGTCCATGTGAGTAGCACGTGTACGCAGGCTGCGAACGCGGCCATGCAGCTGTCACAAGGGACTAAGGACATCGTGACCGAGCTTGGCCAACGCGTCAAGATCGTTTCCAATCGCATGATAAGCATAGGCGATGCCCTAAATGAGCGAGCCAGCTATGATGATGTTGCTCGCTCCATCACCCAAGTTCAGACTGTTTTTGAATCTCTTTCTGATCGAGTAACCGGGCTTATAGCTCGTGTTGATATGATCGAGAGATCTCTAGTGGAGAGCCAATCCAACCATCCTGCGATTGGTGAAGTGAACCTCAAAATCGAGGACCTGTCCACTAGGGTATGTCAGATCGATAGGATGATGCAAGATGTCGAACAGTGCTGGACCAATAATAGGGACGGCATAAAGTGGGTTAAAGACCAACTTTATGAAACACAAGCCAACCTTGAGATAAAGTCAAGGGACTGCAAATCCTACACGGACAAGCAAAATACTCATAACATGGCCGTTTCGACTACGCTCAACAGTAAGCTCGAGCAAATGCTCGAGGTGCTGGGTAATACGGCCCAGAGAATTAACTCCCTCGAGTCAAGGCACTCGAACCAGGCATCAAGTAGTGGATTGAACGATCGCACAGGAGGAAGGCGTGCCGCGTCCCGTACTCCGGATAAGCGGCCACCTCCGCCTGGCCCTCCTGATGATGATCCTCCACCACCTCCTCCTCCAGATCGGCAAAGCCCAGGAGGAGGGGGGAAGAAGAGTGCTGCCGGTGGGAACCCTGGCGACCCTGGTAAACCCAGGTGTAAATACGTAGGTGATGGAAATAATCACCTCATGGCTGAGTTTCACTGCAAAGGATGCAGAGGTGATATTTGTGAGTATTGTTTCTCGTTCAAAGAGAACTTGTGTGAAGAATGTTCCCGTAACGGACCCCGATGCGGTGTCTGTAGGGAGAGCTCGTTCCTGACCAAGGGAATTGAGTGTCAGTTTTGTAGGACCTACTACTGCACCAGACATTCTGCTGGGCAGGATGACTACAGGAGATTTGGATTTGTCCAGGGTCCCTGTTGTCTTGCGTGCCTTAGGGACGAAACTAGGAGAAGAAGGGATCCCGGTGGTAACCGTGTCAGGAATAGATCTCCTGGAGGCACACCTGAGACGAACCCGACGCGGTCGTACTCGCCGCCTCTGCGGCCACCCGTTGACAGATTCCGTGACACTCCCACTGGGGGTCAACCCAACGCGGCTGACCTTCAGAGCCCTCCGAAGGCTACGCAACCCGTGCCCCTGGATAAACGTGAAACCGGATATTATCCAGGATTTGATCCCAACGGTACAAGGCCGAAGGATCCTTCAGGCCTTGAGCCGCCGACCATGCGTGGCCCCGATCCTCCTGACAAGAACTGTCGGATGTGTGATCGGGATATTCCTGACCCCAGCAAAATTGGGGAATGTAAGATATGCATGAAAAGGGCATGTGAGATTTGCATTCCAAAGGCTACTCGCCTTTGCCCTGTATGTGCACTGTCAATCGGTAGTTCTCAGGTTCCACAGCATCTTTTCGGAACTGGTGGCGGTGGATACAGTAGCCACCATGATCCGAACTGTACAGCTGCGACTAAGTGCATTCCCATAGACCTCCCGCCAGAGCCCGACGCGGCTGGGCTGAGGGTATGGATAGCCAATATGAAGGAAGCTGTTAGC